AACATAGCTGTGATTTTTATTGCATATTAATTAGCAAACTTATCTCATCCGGAATATTCCTACGCGTCTTGCGTCGTCGTTTCACAACACAATGCAATAAAAAGTGTGGTGAAAAGGAAGTGCCATAACTTGATTGTCGTTTATTAATATATCGCTCGTTAGTTGATTTTCAAATATTAAAAAAAAATGCCAAATTAACTCTAGTTAAATGAAAATCATGCATGATTTATTTATAAACAAGCAGATTCGTTGCTGCATTGTATTTATAACACTTATAACAAGTGTTATATTCTAAACAAAGTAGGAGAGTAAAAACAGCCACATGTCTTTGAAACAAAGTACAATGTTTCTGTCAAAAATTGATAACTCTCAAATAAAGATTAGCAGGTAGCCAAATCTAACCCAGAATAGGTCATGAATTTACATTTAACCATTAGATTATATTGAAAACCCCCATAAATTATCAGGTTATGTTTTACTGAATAACAACCAATCATTGGGTTATATTTTACCGACGAACAAATCATTGCTGATTTAATCTTATACTGAGGAACAAATACAATTAGGTCGCTTAACTCATTTGGTTGAATAATATATCATTTTGTGTTACAGAGTTGGCATTTCTGCTCCTGAATTCTTACTCTTTTGTAAGATGGAAGAAATGACAAGATGATTCTTCCGAAACAGGAAAGGAAGCGACATAGTAAAATGACAATTACAAGCCATGACACTACTTCGCCGGCTCGAGGGCCGTGCGATCAGCAAAAAATTATCCACATTCACCAAATTGACGACCTTGCGACCGATTGGTTTTGAACTGCTAAAATCCCACCTCCGTGAGTCGGTGCCTTTTTGCATGTGTTAGCTCTAGAATTGCCATTTCCAAGTGATATAAAACCGCAGTGGTCTCTGAAGGTTTTGAGATTCAAGTCCATGTGGATTTACAACATTATCCTCCCTATCACTTGTGTATTATCTAAAGCTTGATAACTCGTGTTGTTCCTGCTAAAAAAGTCCAAACATTGTCTGGTAACAATAGGTCATATGAGATGTAACGATCAGTATACAAACGGATGTAGAAATATGAGTTCAGAAATGATAAAATATATTTAATGTAAAGGAGTGTAAGATTTCACGTCATTGTAGTCTTTATTGTAAGGCAAATAACCTAAGCAACCTATGTTTGGTAAACGGCCATTCTGGCTATCAGCTTAACACGAATGTGAGAATCTTGCTTATTGACAGTAGGTATAGCATTATACTGTCTCGGGAAAGATGTATGTGATATGATGAATTTTATTATAAGAAATTTAAACATAATTAAAAGAGAAAACATTCAAACAGACATATGGAGGCACAATACCTTCCTACCAAAAATAAATTTATAATAAAATAAGAAGTTAAAATTATCTGAAAGTTTGCTACATATAATACATAGAAACAGAGGATCAAGTTTGCCTTGCTATTGTACCTGTCCAGTATCAAATAACACAGAACCTGTCCTCCGGCTAGTCCTACATACCGGGTGTAACCTGCCTCTAACCTCATCCACGTTTTAATGGTTTGTATCATGCAAACAAACAGTATCACAGCCACACTAGTACAGCAGGATAAAATGAACAGAATTTATATGAAAGGGCCTCTAGAACTTAAACATTGATTTCAAATAATAAATTATTTAATGTCTAATGATACAGCGATTGAAAGTGGAATATTTGCAATGAGAAAGTTACATTAAACAGTCTCAACTCGCCAGACATTGGTTTTAGTCTAAACAGGCGACTCCCTTCCTGACTACCCCCCTTTTTATGGATAGGGACATTTTTGTGTGATGGATTATATTTAAATTAGTATTACCGTAGATGATGTCCATATTTTATGATCGCTAAGCTTTATTGATTTCTCTCTGAAGTTGTTGGTGTCCGGGGTATTTCATAGGGACGATCTGGCATGAATCATTTAGGAGGAAATCCTACAATTACGTATATGTAATCATGAAAAGTAAATATTAAATACTTTACCAGTACGATAGAAATCACTAGAGTTTATAAATGATATTCTGCCATGTGAACGAACTCAGACAACACGGTGATAGAACGAGGCTTCAATAATGGCGAGGAGAGAGGACACTTAAAAACCGGTTCGTGTTCACTTAAAACCAAAATACCAGGGGGTAGGGATGTAGCCGGGTGTACTGGCCCCTAATGACACGTTACCCCGGTAACCTCCATGTACACACGTACAGATAGGGTCGAAATACCCCGACAAATCTAATACCCGAAGCTCACAACTCCTTAGTTATCTACTGTTGTTTTATAAACTTTGACGAGACGAGTAAACCCAAAAGGCCAACATCCATTCCACACACATAAAACCTAACAATTGTGAAACTTAGACGAGTAAGCGGTTTTTATAAGGCAGATAAAGAAAGATAGAGGGTGTAGAGGGACAGTACTGTATCATGCCGAGGGATATTATCCATGACGACACTTGAAGGTTTAGTTCCTTAGGGATGATAGATCCGCTGTATGCATGGCGAAATTTGACACTTCCGGTTTGGAAAATGTGACTTCTTTATATACATCTCCGAGCGAACTCTAATTCAAACAACATGGCAACCTTTCTGAACGTCACTATGCTTAAAACTTAACACCAGATTGACATGCTATTGCTAAGACCAAGGCATGTTTTGTACGATACAAGTTCAGTTTTATTACATTCACATACTACATTTATAATGTAACCAAGGAAACAGGCAGGGTAAACCGAGCATTGTGGATCAAACCACTTATTCATAGTTTACCATACTGTACACAAACGCTGCATTTTATACGTTTTGCAACGTAAATGGCTCCATTTGACAAAACCATAAAACCGAACTGTGTTTTTCTCTGATCTAACAATTACCAAATCCATTCAAGATTCACTACAACTTCACAAGATCCGATTTTATTGACTAGACATTTACGAGATTTATTATTATACTATACAATCCTGGTGTATATATTCAAGATTTACTAGATCTTTACAAGTCTCACAACACATTTACACCAATAGGATTCACACATTCTGGAATATATCTGACAAATTTAATTAGATCAGCACTTGACTTCACTAGACTTTATCAATCTTAAGTTAACCTTTTCACTTCCTGGCATCTATTTTCAAGATTCACAAGACCTTAACAAGATTCATTGGACATTTAAACTATTTTCAAAGATTTACAAGATTCACTGAATATTCATAAGATTCGTTGAATATTTGCAAGATTCACTGAATATTCATAAGATTCCTTGAATATTTACAAGATTCACTGAATGTTTATAAAATTCATTAGACTTTTACAGGATTCACTGAATATTCATAAGATTCATTGGCGTTAACAAGATTCTCTGAATAGTTACAAGATTCAATAGACATTTACAAAGTTGAGAAGAAAGAGAAAGGGTCAAATGGATAAAAATCTGAAAATATGTAAGACATGAGAAACACCGAAGGATTAATGAATGACACAGATAATAAATACGGATATCTTGATAAAAAAAGGGGGTAGGTAAACAAGTATTCCGTGTATATTGAAGCCTAGATATAGAACGCTTCTTTGATTGTACGTGAACAGTGAAATATGGCCCGGATTTTGAAAATTATGAAATATTGTGCCGTGTTAAATAACATGATAAACTAACTTTCATTTTTTTTTCTATTTGTAGCGTTATACAGAAGGATAGAGTAAACCCGTTTGTATTGAAGTCTGCTTTAAATATTTATCATGATGATAGAGCAATTATCCTATATCAATGTATAATATCTTTTTGTGATTATTAAACGACGAGACTTAAAATCAGAAAATTTCAAATATATATAAATTCTACTAAAACTGTGTTTTCAGAGATTTCTGCTGAAAATCATCTGGAATCTTACTTCAACAACGAGACAGAACGAACACCCATAACATGTCGGAGGTGAAACCAGGTATCCCGGAGTTAACGATCCGTGACATTTTGAACAAATCTTAAACCATGGTAAACACATAATATCATAGTCAGAAATTATGCATTAATGAATAAACTGGTCAGCTTTTCAATCAGAAACCCAAAGTTTACAGCGGGAAAAATAACACATCCAGTTACTCCTTATAGTAGTAGGGAGGGCTCTGGAGTGGGGATTTCAGCATCGTCAGAACAATGGTTATTGGTGTAAAAGTGAACACATAATCATCAATACATAGCTATATGTATCAGGTTCTCACTTCACTATGCGTACGCTAGTCTGTAGCAATACATTATTATCAATATTGCAATACTAGTTTATAACACGGATAGAGGAATAGAGAAAACGAAACAACCTAAATGGTATGTCCTATGTTTAAGTAGTTTTATATGTACTGATATGCCATGTTCTGGTAAAATGGTAAATATTCACTATGTACATAATTGCGACCACTTAAAACATCTTGTACTGCAATGTATAAGGACTGTACGTGCCTGTTCTCTGACAGACGTCTGGACCCTACAGTTGTCTAAACAACTAACGAGCAGATGTGGAGAGAGCATTGCTCAGTGAAACCTCCGGGCTAAAATAGCGGACAAATCCAGACTCCCCATCAACCAGGTTACCTGAACGTCATATACAAAGCTCGCGTATTATGTCTTAATCTCGGGCAAAATTTTTGTGTCAATCTCAATATGATTACAAATGAATGTCAGTAGTCAAAAGGAGGCAATAGACACGTTCTTGGCATGGGTAATAACCTAAATAATATGAATAAAATTACCCTAAATTAAGAAGAACAAAATAACAAGAAAGCGAAAGAATGTCAAACACCACTTTCTTTAACACCAATATAAGTTAATATCTGACCAGATAGTTTATCGTATCTCTATGAAGGATGAACGTTTCTGAGGTACAAATCGAGTGTTTACAACATAATATGAGAGACAGCAAATAAACATTAATTGTGAATATCATACAAAAAGTACAAATACTGAAAATGTTCTTACCATTGAAAACGTCAACATAGAGAAGATATCCTAAATAGCTTGTTGTTTAGGTTCGCCGACACAGGTAATAACAAAGAAGTGTCCAGGTATGTATGGTTCGTACACGCAGTTAAGGCTAGTGTGTACCACAGCCAGCAGGCGAACAGTGATAACAGAACGCCTAACACACCACTATAAACTCGACAAACCGCTGGGCAAACACGGCGCTTTAATCCAGGGGGATAAACCCTTACTCAAAATTTACGACATCACATCGACAAGAGATATTTAAATTAAAAAATCTGTAGACTCCTGTCCGAAAACGATGGATCAACGGGAACTTACTTGGCCATTAAACGATTGCGGTGAGCGCTTATAAATCCGCGCTCGGTCAGTGTCTATCTCCGAGGGATTTACATGGATATAACACACGCAGACAACTATTGTCACAGGACTAACGATGTCACTCTGACTTAGTAGGCATCAAAATAACTAAGGGAGGAGAAAGTTCGTAATTGTCAATGCTTTTATAAGATTAGGTTAAACGATTTTGTTATTTTGTACACGTCAAATTATCACAAAGCTGTTAAAATTTCCACCACCTGCTTGTATGGGTTATTAGTTTCACGAGTGACAGTTTGATAATTAATTATTAGAATGAAAAGCACACACTAAAATCAGTGATAGTTTTAGGTTTCAGGAATTGCTTTTTAACAGTTACCTCGTAGAAACAAGATTACAATATATCCCATTTATGGAGGTTTTCAGGATTGTGACATATTTATTCAACTTTTACTCAGTGTTTAACAAACCTTTTTTTTTTTCTTTTTTTTTTCTCTTTACGGACTTTTTCTAAAGCGTTAAAAAAATGAATTTTGTGTTTTGTAGTAGTTAGGAGTACGTATCTCGGTTTTGGTTACATTTATATCTATTTGTTTATTTATTGACCTATTTCAATTCAACAGATTGATTGAACAAAGAAATAACTGATAAATCATGCGTTTTGAATTTAGCGAGTCTAAACTCTAAATATAGCACAACATCAAGAAGTCGGTAAAATGGTCCTACTCGCCGTTATATTGTGTAATACCGTTAGCTGTTATCAATGTAACGTCTGTAATTAAACGATACAAAAAGTCGACCCCAAGTCAATACAAACCAAAAATACATGAGGATCATCGTCGACAGGTGCGCGTAGCGTCAATGTAACTTTAAATGGAAGTAATAGGGGACTTATACATGGATAATCACGTTGTTTTAACTATTGTGGTAACCAAACGGTACGAGAGGGATCTAGCATCCTATGTTGATGATTTATGCATCGTCAAAGGAATTCTTTCCACATCTGATGAACAAACAAAATCACTAGACAATACATGCAAGCCAAAACGAACTGAGTATATGAAAATAGAGTGGTAAGTTCTAAACTTGTGTTACAACAGTGTGACCTTATGCAACAGTGGTAGGAAACAGACCTCAAGCAACAACAAAAAACGAGTGTCCCGTTTTTTATTGTGGCTTGATGGCTGTTTCCTACCACTGTTAACGAGTCTATAAATAAAGCAAAATTAATGGGACCGAGGAAAAAACACAAGTTATTGGGTTACCGACATAAAAACAAATATGACTCCACAACAAATTAATGGGGTTACAGCAATCGATATTCGATAAAAGTATCGTCAACTTATAATTTCGATGTATACTATATTTACATACCTGCTCTATATTGTCTACATGTTTTCTTCCCGGCGAGCTGTCAAGTGATATACGTCATAATATAGGAACAAAGGGGCGTGTACTGTTGACGAGAATAGAAATGTTTAGATCGTTGTATCACTTACATTGACTTATTTACATGGCTACATCCAGGGCTAGAGAAACTGGTAACAGTATCAATTATATCATAACATAAGTACAGAATCCTAGTGTATCATCACTAATATCCACGGTAGTGTAGCCTGTACGTTACAAAATGTTAGGACTGTTTCAAAGATGAAATAAATCTAACAAGAAACTTAAACGAGAGCGATGCTTCACATTGTGAGCTGTTGGGGCAATATAGGACCAGGACGTTATTATCGTGCCGTGTGTCCTATTGTTTCTTTAAATGCAGATAGCCCGCAACATGGCAATGCATGTAATATAACAAACTAGCCTCGGTCCGATTCAGAAACGCTGTTCAGTGAACTTTCATGTTTCCGTGGAAATGATAAGGTTCCCCCTTTATGCCCTAATTTGTCTAGTAAATTGTTTACCAACATGCCGATGGTAGGGCTGGCGGTTTTATATTTCCACGTTTTTATTGTGAATTGAACTTACAACCAGGGACGTCGCTTCCCGTGTCAGCCAGCACGCATACACCGTCATGTTCATTGACATAATTATAAAATGTCGTGAAATAGGCCATTCAAACGCAGAGGGGTCGAAACCCTGAGAAACAGGACCCCGTCGATGATATACAGACTAGCTTACAATGGGGTGACTTTAATGGAGTTGAGGGATGGAAGCTGGATATAATAGATTTATCTACGAAACCAGAGATGTCACACAACAACAAAGCCGAGCTATGTCTCCGCTTACAATCCCTTACTATAAACTGGCTATTACACGGTATAACGCCGGTATGGCGGACACTGGCTTTATGCATCCTCTGAGAGTATCATTGCCTCTTCCTATAGATTTTTATTAAAATGTTGTAGTAAAAATGATTTCAACTGGGCTAAAGCAGTAAAGATGAATTGAATAATAAAGGTCTGCATGATGTTTGGTTAAATCCATGTATTTCTCAGCAAAATGTGTTTTTACCATTGATAAAACAAATAATTTTTGATCAAGGCATACAATCCCTTAGGGCCTAAATGGAAAACTCTCCAAAATGTTTATTGTATAAAAAATATCATTGATTTCGGATAATCATTACAATTTTACCTCCCAAAATATATACCAATGAAATATCGCATTTGTTTAACTCGAATCCGTACATCTACACATTCTTTGGCTGTAGAAGTTGGAAGGTATAATAATATACCTAGAGAACGTAGATATTGTAAACAGTGTAACTTCCCCTCTGAAGTAGAGGACGGATTTTATTTTTTATTAGTCTGTTCTAAATTCCAAAATCTCATATCACGTTTTATCAAACGCTATTACTGGAAAAAAAACATTTGTGTTTAAAGCCGTTGAGTTATTGAGTGTCCATAATGTTAAAGAATTGTGTATACTAGGAAAATTCATCCATGAGGCAAACAAATTAAGGGTATTATAATGGTATATGATTGTCTTCATTATCTGTACATTGTCCATGCTTTGTGTTTAAAATGTATTATATACTGATGGGCCAATGGCCTAAAGTTTGAATAAAACTTGAACTATTTCACTCCAACAATAAAATATTGGACAGTGTTTAATGTCGACTTCCATACCACTTTGGTTGAGAAGTCCACACTTTAACTGTATAGAACATTGTGTCGGAGATTCTTACCCAGACGTTTTGTCTGCTATATATGTACATTCACATGTAGTTATATGCTTGCTGTCTTCATGATTGCAAACAATGCTGACAACCACTTCAACATGTTGTGTGTAGTATTTACCTTTGAATTTTTATGTTCTTTGATGGAAAACGAAGTGACACAGTGCACTGTGATATGATGAAAATGGGATACACAACACTATCTTTCTAGTGCACTGATTCTTTATGACAGTTTTCTATTATAAACAGGAGGTCATCCTATCCTCTTATTAACCATACCTCTATAAATAGTGTCTAGCACGGTCACCCAAAGGGCAAAACGTTAACGCAGTCAATCGTTTATTAATCATGAATAAGCCGGAACGATATCATATACGCTTACAGTACTCCAGGGCGCTTTATATATCGTCATGGCAAAATTTAAAAACAAGAGGCAGAGGGCCAAGTAACTCTCTGGCATACGAATCATCTGATGAACGATTGCATCATATAGCAAGTACTTTATCAATTATTATACATTTTATAATCCCTAGCAGTACGTAAATTCATGAAGACGCATGAAAAAGATAGCCGTCAAAATTTACAATAGTGAAAGTGGTAGATCGAAATTTTCGAAACAGATTCGTTAAAAATTACCGAAATCGATTTTAACTTTTGTACTTGTTCTTAAGAACATTTTCAATATATAAACCTCATTTAGACAAATAGTTTAGTCGCTCTAGAAAAACTGTTAGCTAACAAAGCAGCAATCCACAGCAAGCTTATTACAAGTCTGTAAAAAGACGATTGAACCATTAAATACAGGTTAATATACAACAAAACACGTATAAAATATGATTACCTTTTACTTTTCTGGAAATAATATACAATTATTACTTAGAAATTTTACATTTATGCCATTAGATGATGGCACTGGTCATTATCAGTTGATAATGATACATGTTACTGATGAAGAAATTATTTAACTTTTTCAGGATTCAATGCTAGAACGAAAGTTGATTAATTATGATGTACGTGTTATTGAGAAATTGATTTTTTTATCAAAATTCTTTGTTTTGGAAATTTATTGAGAAATAGATTTGTGCGTAGATATTTTATTCACAAAATGACTTTAAATGTGCATTACTCTCGAAAAGCATTCCCCTGTACTGCAAATACACACGTTAGTCATGTATGACTTGTCTTGCATGCTTTTGCCTTGTTGAATGAGGGTACACGCATGCATGTGATTACTTAATTATTTCAACATACATCAATGTTAAGCTGGCTTCTGTGCCCAGAAAACAAAGCACATTCGCAGGTTGTTGGCGACATATAAAACCACGCATAACGTTAACGTGGCATATGTCTCATGTACAAAAGAACGGTCTTACATTAGTGTACCTAGGCTTTCGGATTTTGGTTGGATATATAAATACTTCAAATTAAAAAAAAAAAATCAATAATATTTGCCAACATTTATATCATATAACAGACGCTAGCGTAAATAACATCAAGCATACGGCAATTTTTGTTTGTGGGAATTCTATAACAATGAGCATTTTTTCCGGAAACATAAACCAGCATGCAATACAAAATAACCTGGGATAGGGTACGGACAAACATATCCGGATTAATACTATTTCTGTTGTCGTTGTGATCACCTGCAATTCGATCATTTTCAACCTCTCAATATTTTGGTACGTGTTGTATGAGAATTCACTAAAGCAGCATAAGTTTAGATTGAA